GAGGGTTGCGATCCGTTGCCGGTCACGAAAAAAGACAAAAAGGAAAAAAATAAATAAATAATTGCTCCAAACTGGAAACAAGCAAAATGGCCCTTCAGCTGATGAATGAATCAACAATTTGTGGTGTATCCCTACAATATCATACTATTTGACAACAGAAAGGAGTGGGCTGTTGCTATACTTAACACTTGTGGATGACTCACAAATGTATTTTACTAATTCAAAGAAGCCAGACCCAAAAGGCTAAATACTGTATGATTGCATTTATATGACATTCTGGAAAAGGCAAAATTGTGGCGAGATAGAAAAGACCAGTGGTTGCCAGTGCTGGGGGGTGGGAAGGGGAGTTGACTACAAAGGGACAGGATGAGGAAATTTGGGGAGTTGATAGAACTGTTCTAAATCATGATTATTGTGGTGGACACATGACTACGTATTTGTCAGAAAAAGGAAAATGACAAGCAACACTATGCCATATTGGAAAGGCATACATATCTCTCCTCCCACCTTTTTTGGGTGTATATGTTTACTCGAGGTGCTGAAATGAATTTCTTCTTTTATAGATTTTATTTGGAGTCAGGAGGAACCTCAGAACATGGGTCCATGGTGTTTTGTTTCTCCAAGGTTTGAGAAGCAATTGGCCTGCAAGGTGATAGCTCTTTCTCTCTTGTAGTTTTTTTTCGTGTGTGTGTGTTATTTCTCATGGAGTACCAGCAAATGGGTTTACCCCTATTGCCAGTCCAATTATTTAAAGATAAACTAAAATATAAAATCTAGTTTTAGGAGAGTGCTCATGGAGATGTACGAGGGTACTTTAAAAAGTTTGTGGAAAAACATAATTGAAACATGATACAATCTTCTATGAACTTTTTGAAGACCACTCGTATATGTGTACATACTAAAATAGTGTAAAAAAAAAAGTGGTTATACTCAGAAAAGTAAAAGTCTTTACCTGTTGGTTGCCTTTCCTGCTAGCCTCTTCTGCATGTCTTGTCCAAGCCTCAGAGGAGCAGGGTGAGGAGCAGCTTATTTTACGCTGTAGAACTGGATACACCCAATAACACTTGTTCCAGGCCCATCTACAAAGCTGGTGTACATCCAAGGCGGGTGTGTGTCTTGCTTGTTCTTTAGGAAGGGAAAAACAATGAGAAAAAGAATTGTGCTTCTGTTTATCTTTCTATTCTGTTTTGATTAGAACTCAGTTCACTTATTTGATACTTGTCTGCTAGGCTCACATCATTTCACCTGCAAAGAATTCTAATTAAGGAAGCTCTACAGCTAAAACCAACTAATAGTTACTTAAGAAGCATCTTATCATGCTATTCTATGTAACTCATTTTTCAGAAGAGGTGATTCATGGTTAAACAAGCTCAGAGAAATACATGCCCCCACTCGGTGGAACTAAGCAGAGCTCTGATCCAGTCAAAATGTCCTTTTCTTTCTTCTCTCCTCTGATGCCAGCTCCGGCTTGTGAGCCGGCCCTCCTTGCCAGCCCCCGCTGTAGGAATTGGCACACTTCACCTGCAGCAGCATGAAGACGTGCTCACCAAGACCTTCGCTTGATGTGGACCTTTGAAGAAATACCACTTCCTTTTAAGAAAACTGCCATAAAAAGGAAGCCTGCTTCCTCTTACTCTTTCCCCTTCCATTAGGTGACATGAAAAAACCACCTTCCTCTAAGATATTGGGACAGACGAGGACAACTTAATCTGCAGTAGGTGGAATAACCGGGGGAATTGGTCATCTATGCATGCATGTGAC